TGGCAATCCGCCCTTGCGCGCAGGACTGCCGCCGCGTAGCGCAAGAAGCCTGTGCCCACAGCCGGCCTGCAAACCGCGACCACCCCCAGCAGGTCGCGGATCGCCACGGCGCTATTGGGACGCCGCATCACCTCCGCTTGCACCGCACGCGCCACAACTGCACCTCAGTCTGCAAAGCCAGCGATGCATCGCTGGCCACGTGCAGCCAAGATGCTGTCAGCACCGCCCATGAAGCTTGCGCCAAAGGCTGTGCCCAGCAAGCCCTGGGCAGGGAAGGCACGCTCAGACATGTCAAGCTAGGACAGCCCGCCTCCATGTTCATGACCTGGAGCCTCTTGAGGCAAGCTGCCTGCGGCAACTCAGCTAGCGCAAGCTTGACCAGGCTGGGCTTCTCTTTGTCAAGCTGCTGTCAGCTCACGGGACAAGCGCTCGTTCCTGGAACCCAGCATTGCGCAGGACCACAAAATGGTGGACGCATCCTGGCAACCCAGGCCAGTAAGGCCACATGCAAATGCCAAGAATGCCAATATTTTCAATAAACATGCCATGCATCGAGGTCCTTAGCACTTGACTCACTTGACAGCAGAGCGATTCTCGCTCGCTCCTGTGGCGTGGAGTTTGTGAGCGCCAAGGCTGCCTTCATGGCGTCGTGGATCATTTCGGGGTCCTCCACCGGCAGCCGCGCGCAGGTCCCGCACCGCGCGGCGGCCGTCATGTGCTGCGCGGAGTCTGCGAAGAGCTGCCGGGCCTTGGTGACTTTTTGCGGCCAGCAAGCCCTCCAAAACAAAACCCAAGATTCAGGGCAAAACGCGGAAGGAAAAAAGGGAGAAAACAGAACGAACAGTCCAGAGGGTGTGGCTCAAACAACGCCAGGGGGCGCGGGCAGCTTGGCCGGCCAACTGGCAGGTGAGAATGGCCTGCTGGTAGCCAGAGCTCGGCGCCAGCCTGGCCGCGGCCATGGAGGCCAGGGTTTCCAGGCCGAGCGCCCAGGCGAGGCCCTGCTGCTGCGCGGCAATGGCGGCGGTCCAAGTGACGGCATCGTGGCCAGGGCCCTGGACAACTCTCCGCCTCCCTCAAACCAAGTGGTTCTGGGAGGCTAGGGCCTGGTTTGTTTTGACTTGCATTCTTTTACCTGAAGAGCAAACAAGGACCAGCTAAGCCCCAACCCACCAATCCAATCCACCAGCTGAGGCAACACGGGTTGGCCACACAAAAAAGCCCTTGGAAAAAGCACCCAGCCAAGCAATCAATCCAATCCACCAACTGGGGGAAGCTGAGGCAACACGGGTTGGCCAAACAAAAAAAAACATCTTGGAAAAACGACCCCCTCCGTGCGTATCCTTCTTGCAAGGTGCGGAGAGCTGAAAGACTCCCAGGGCCGCAGCCCAGTGCGTCTGCTCACAGAGGCACTGCATGGCCGCTGCGGCCTCCGTGGCCTCGGAGAGCGTCCACTGCGTCCAGCGCCACTGGCGGCAGCTTAGCAGCAGCTGGCCTGTCACGCCATCCCGCCTCACCTGGCACTGGCCCATGTTCATAGCCCACCTTTTGTTACAGGCCATGTTTGGACTGGCCAACCTTTCATCCAAAACCCTGAAACCAGCTCTGGGCTGTCCTCAGATCCCCTACAAGTCTGTTTTTTCTTTTTCTCCTGAGTGGTTTAGTGGAAACTACCACTCAAACCAAAGGAACCGGATGGCTGGGGCTGGGAACCACCAGTTCTTGCTTTGGGTGTTCTTCAAATATTGCATTGCAATCCGTCCATCCACAAATGGCTGTGGGTCAAAAATAGGTACCCAAAATTGAACCCTGGTAAGTGGAAACATGGACCAAAATCTGCAGTGCACTATTGGTTTAATTTTGACCCACACCCAAATGAGTCTTGTTTGTTTTCCTTGGCTTCCCTTCAACGGTTCCACTTTGGAAGCTGCGCTGCGCCTGCAAGCGGCCCATGTGCCTCAGCAGCTCGGCCGCTGCCTGCCACTGCAGCGGCAGCGCGGCGTTGCAGGCGGCCACGTCGGGCGTGGCGCCCAGGGCGCACGCGGCGCGCAACAGATGCGTCGCCACGGGCCATTCGGCGCGGGAGATCAGGGAGCTGTAGCTGATCAAGTCCAACACCACCTGGCGTCTGGAGCTGCATAGCATCCATCCAAGATCCATGGGCAAAGAATCAGGGAGTCCCCGTTTGGGCCATGTTTTTCTCCGATGTGCTCGCGCCTCCGCCCTCCTCATGCTGCCTAGCAGCGCCATCGCAGGCGACCAGCTCTGCTCAGCACCGACCGTGGCAGTGAAGCCTCACGAGGCAGAGAGGAGGCCAGGCAGGATGTTGTTTCCGAGGTGCCATGTTTGGATCTACCAAAGCACCAAAAAAATCGTGAAGTCCAGGCGGCATATCGCATCTGGCACCATGGCATCAATGAACCTGGACAAAGTGCGTAGATGTTCAACCAGCTTACTAGGTCATGACGGAGGCTACACGTGGCTGGGATAACACGGGCGGGCTGATATACTGCGGATGGATAGGCTTCTTGCAGAATTCATAGGGCCCATTGCAAATCCAATGAACATCCACGGCAACCCCGGCTTGCCAGAACCGACAAGCACTTGGGAGCCGGGCATGCGGTGAAGGAGCGCTCGGACCTGCTGCCACCGGCCACCTCAACGATGATTTGAAGAATGTTGACCAGATTCATAAACCATGGTTGCGCCTGGGTTTATAGACCGACCACATTTGGAGGGGCCCTCCCCCCTATGAATAAACTGGGGTTGATTGATCCAGGGTCAACATTTCGAGGGAAACCCCCTTTCAACACGACCACTGCATGCTGCATGGGTCGAGACAAGAGTGGAAACAACTTTTGGGAAGCCATGAAACCAACATGTTCTTGGAAAACCCTCGCCTGCCAAGGCATTCATCGCAGAGCCGTGGCTTACGAGATCCGGCCGGAGGCGGTGCCCTCGAAGCAGGTCGAAGATGGCAAGGGCGGCTTGCCACTGCGCGCTCCTGACTCGAAGTCTCGAAAGCCGGGGCAAACCGGGAAGAGCAAACCGGGGACCTGGGAGCCAGCTACGGATGCAACACATTTCAGCTCCAGCTTGGGGAAGGACCATCTCCTCGCACAGGTGTGAAGTGCCGTATTGAACGTCACAAGGTTTGGCTCCCCAAAATCGCCCAGGACTGCCAAAGCCAGTTGCCAGCGGAGTGCATCTCCCAGCGCTGCGATCAGCTGGTTGTAGGTCACCACGTCAGGCCTCGGTTTTTCACGCGAAACATGACCGGGCTGTTGGATTTGAGCAGTTTCGTGACATTTTCCGCCTCAGCATGGCTCTGGGTCAAACATAGGTACCCCAAATGGAACCCTGGTAAAAGGAAACATGGACAAACATCTCTCTCTCTCTCTCTCTCTCTCTCTGTGGACCAACATCTGCGGTCCCCAGTGGCTTAATTTTGATCCATACCCACATCAGCACTTCCTCCCAAGCACCCTGCGCTCGCCCACCATCTCACCCACTCATGAGCAAAAAAACTAAAGTGGTCTCGGGGATTCTCGCCGAGTCTCGGCACAGAGGCAGGGACCATGCGATCCAGCGACGCCAGCGCCAGCTCCCAGCGCCCGCTCTTCTGGTAGGTCTTGATGGCGCTGTTGTAGTGAAAAGCATTGAGCTCCACGAGAAGCTTCCTCGTTTCGCAGGGATCCGGATGCATTATACACCTGAACATTGCCTTGTACATGGTGGTTTCCCTTTATCTTGGTGGAAAATGCCATGTTTCAAATGGGCAAAAAGTATCTTTTAAGGAGCCCTGTTTCGGTGTTCGGCGTCCCTCTGCCCCAAAAAGTAGGGAAAATTAGGGAAACTTGGCATGCGGCATTCAACTGGCCAAGCTGAAACCGGCGTGCAAAACTCCCACATGAATCCAGTCTTTGCTAGAAATCCGCGATGCCCTCAGTTTCACGATGGCGCACACATTGAAGTGGCACCTTCGTCAAACCCGTAGGATAATCTCAAGGGACTCCAGGAAACAAGGTGTTGCCAAATTTTGAGATGCCACATTTGTCTCAAAGGGGAAGCCCCCATGTTCTTGTCATTTCCCTTTTCTTCTCTTTTTCACCAAAAGGCCTAGAGGTTCATTCCCCATTCTTTTAAACCATCGTTCTTTTTAAAAACCAGCTGTTTCCCCTGGGGTTCTCATGGTTTTCTGGAAAGAAGGATCTCTGGAAAGCATGGGGAAGTGTCCCCTAGAAAAGGAGATCCCTGCTGGGATCAAAATGGTGGCCACGGCGTCTCCAGCACCTCCAGGAGAAGGAAGGCGGTCTTTGCACGGCGCCACTTCGCCACATCCCCCAGCACTGCGGTGATCAGCTTGGGTCGGCGCCGCCAGGTGTCGATACCTGAGGTCACGCGGGAGTCTCTGCGCTTTGGGCTGGCATGCGAAGGAAAAACCTTCGGGAAACAAAGCCATTTTCAGGGGGTTCTGCCGCCATTGTGGACCTGAAAAGCGAGATCAAAAGGGAAAAGAGGGCTTGCCATTGGACGTCCCACCTACGAAGGAGCATTCAAAAGAAACCGCTGGTGAGGTTTCATATGAACAAGGTGCAACATGACTGACTCCCGGTTTCCCTTTGGGCTGAATTGACTTTTTGTTCCGTGTGCAATTGAGCCGTAGTGTCCGTTCTTGCAGTCCTTATTCGGCGGCAAGCCTGATCCAACGAAAGGATCCAAGCCCCATGCCGAGTTGCTGCCGGCCACCAAACCTTCGACGTCGGCAGCATGGGGCGAGGGGCCCAGCTTGAGGAGGCTGAGCGCGGCCTCTCCAGAGGACAGCCCTCTCATGCGGTCATGCCATCCCGCTGCGAGCCGTAAGTCACACGCACATGTCCGGCAAGCGACGAAAACAAGCTACTGATGTTGACCCCGGATCAATAAACCCCTGTTTATTAAGGGACGGGTTTATTGATCCGGGGTCAACATTAAGTTACCAGCTCGCAGCCTGAGATGCCAACTGGGCGTACAAGGGCAAGACTCGCATGGGCCTCGTGCAACGCCGCTTCTCTTGGCAGGGCGCCCATCTCTCTCAGGGCGGCGCCCCTCCGCAAAGCCGATGCCTTTGAAGACGCCCCCAGCAGTCCTCGTCTTGTCCAGCCTGCACGGAGCTTTGAGTCTGGAAGGTTATCAAGAAATCCCCGGCCTCGACATTCTCACCTTCCTCTGGTTCTTGAGCTCCTGGTCCTTGACATCCTACGCGGAATACGAATCCCAAACGATTTGCAAGCGACTCCAGCGCGCTTTCACCCGCCGGCCTCGGCTTCCATGACAACGACGTCCTCCTCGCCCAGCGCGAAGGAGAGCCCCGGCATCTGAGCCAAAACACGCGTCAAGCCGGATCGCTTCTTTGCGGTGCTCTCCGCACCTCGTCAGCAGCCTGCCGGCTGCAAAGAAAAAGGCGGCGAGCTGAGCTCGACTTGAATGACTATCAAAAAAACTTGTTTAATCAACAAAAAGACTTTCAGCCATCAACCAAAAAACAACTTTCCACAACACTCTGCTGACGCTCTGCACCTCCGGCTCTTCGCCCTGCTCCTCTGGTTTCGCCTTCTTGGACGACGCGCTCTTCGAGCCCTCAGAGCTCTCGACCGCTCGACCGCTCGACCGCTCGGAGGCCACGGCCTTGCGCTTGCGACGGCCGGTCTCGGCATTTGCCTTTGCCTCGGCCTTGGGCCTCGAGCGTCAAGCTTCGAGTGGCGAGCTGGCGACCGGTCAAGTATATATGAAGCAACATTGAGGCAGAAACTCAAACTCAGCTTGCTTCTTTCTACCCTTTGCCTTCTTCTTTGGCCTCGTGTGCATCCATGACGCCACGGGATGAGCTAGAGAGAAGAATTAACGCATGGGACAGCCTCTTCACAGCTTCAGCTGCACTTTCGTCCGCGTCGCCCGGGACTTTGTCCGCAGTCTCAGCTGCTGCCTTGTTTTCAGCAGTTTTGGCCTGAAGCAGCTTGACAGGCTACACGCGCGCTGTGTCGATGGAAATCACCCGCGTCGAGCCTCGTGCGAAGGTTGCTCTGGCCTTGACTTGCTCAAGTCATGCAAGTCAAGCGCCCAGCGTCACGGTCATACGACTCATGCAGTGCGCAATTGGAATGTAGTCAGCAAGGGCTCCGCGCTCTGAAATATTTGCTTCATCGTCTGACGCCTCCAGCTCCAGAACTGCGGCCTCCTAGCCGCCGCCCCATGCGCCCATCTTGCTGTCTCCGCCGTCCTCATCGGCTTCCGCTTCGGCTTCCTCCATGGCCTTCACAGGCGCGAGGGGACATCCCGCCACGGACCTCCGGCCATGGCGCGCCTTGCCACGCGAGGTCATCGCCTGCGTCCTCTGAAGCATCCTGCGCCGGACCCAGCAAAAACCGACCTCCCAGCAAATGCTTGGCGCTCGCGGCGGTCCGGCAGAGGCGGTGGACCTCCTGACGTCCGGTCACAAAGACCTGGAACACGGCAGTGAACTCAGCATGCGCAGCAACCACCCAACCACCCTCAGGCCACAGCAAGAATGCTCCCCGGAGGCAAATCCTTATGAATCTGCAATACCTCAAGCTGTCAAACTCCTTGCAGAATGTGGGCAACACACGTGTGGGGCAACGCACAGGCCAAACAAGCAGCACCCATTGCTCCCATCGGGCACTGATCGATGCGCAGCCTCGGTCGCACAATGCAGGGACTTGATCGTGTCCCGTGGAAAGGCCTTGATGTAGTCCTCCTCCGTGCGTCGAGCGAAGTGCACCGTCACCTGAGCCATGCAGCCGCATGGTTGTTGAAGCAGCGCAAGTTTGGGCCCGTGCAGGAAACATGCGAGCATCGATGCGCAAGACGGGCGGCGGCACTGGGAAGAGCCTGGGCACCGTTTAGGCGCCCAAAATGGCATGCGAAAAAGCCGGCTGAGTCTGCAGCTGCTGATTCTCAGTGAAGTCGCACAGGCGAAGCGTGGCCGACATGATCACCTGAGTTGCAACGAATGCTCATTGAAGGCAAGGCATCAGCTCGAGCTCTCCGCAAGCCGAGAAAACCTGAGCCAGCCACCAACTTCAAGGGCGGCGGCTGCTCAGAACCTCTCAGCACAAAGTAATACCACGAAGCGAATCGCAAGCTTAGTCCCGCTGGGCCCCTTGCTGCCGCTCCGTCTAGCCTTCAAAAGGAAAACGCCGAGGGGCGCCAAAACCCTTCCACGCTCTCGTGCCTCCTCATAGGCTTTTCGCCTCTGCTGGACGGCTCGCGAAAGAAGCCCAATCAAAATGTCGCAGTTCACCTGGCCATCTCACATGCAACATGACATTCACGCAACCAGCGTGCCAATGGTCCATGGTGTGTCTTTGATTGAGCGCGCCTTTCTGCGTGGTTTTCAAGGGAAAGCAACAGGAAAACCACACCCTCCGCGCCGAGAAAAGACACACACCCATGCACACCGGAAGAATCTGCCAGGGAGACTCCCCTTTCGTGGGCCTCGAAGCGACTCAAGCTCGGCTCTTCGCGTCAGCTCTCTCTACGCCTCATCGATCACAATTGCGGTGTACTTTCGGCAAAGGAAGTCTGCCTGAACCTGGCGAACATGGCAAGCCCCAGCTCAGGCTTTTTGAGGCTCTCAGGCTCTCAGGCATGCCTCCCGCAAGAGGATGCCATCTGTCATGAACTTGATGCGCATGTCCTTTGTGCAGTGGCTGCTGTCGTATCGGACCTGCCAGGCATGATCATCTCCCTGTCTCACCGCGCTTCCTCGGGGTGTCGCAAGCCTGGTAGCCAACCTTCCTGGTATCGTTGAGCTCTTGCCCCACCCTCCTTCAGCTGGTAACCCTCTCCAGGCTCAAACCCCGCGACTTGCACGCCATCCAGAGGCCGGGGCTGTGAGACCGAGACAGCAGCAACCTGCAAGCAGTGCAGCGCCACACGCCGGCGGAGTTCGATGTCGCGAAATCCGAAAGCTCAGCGCTCAGCACGCCGAGGCTGGGTCACCCCGATGAGATGCTGCTGGCCGTTGCAGAAGCCACACCTCAGTGGGCAGAAGCGGTCCTTGGCCTTGCGTTCCCACGGATCCCGTTTGCAGCGCCTTTTTGCTTGTCACCTGACGCTTGTTGCGAGGTTGGAAGGTTGCAACGCACCCCTCGCAGAAAACTGCCTCCGGCTGTACAGGCATTCGGCTGAGAAGCCGTTGCACTAAATGTACGAGAACAAGACCTGCCGAACGGCATCCAGCTTGTTGTCTTCAGCTATGGACAGGGCGCTTCTCCCTGCAAAGTCCTCTGCCACCACACTGGCTCCTAGCACCATCACACACCAAATCAGAACACAATGGTCCACACCTAAACCCTGCAGGCCACAGAAACACACTGTTCCGCCTCATCCACCCTTGCCCGGCCAACACATCACGCCACGCAAAAAGGCACCCACCCAACGCCCAAAGACATAGTAAACCATCTCAGCCCACACCCCAAACCTGAACAGAATATTGCAGCACACACCTCGTCTAACACCAAGGCGGCCACGCAATATGCAGCCGACCATGTTACGATCACAAAACAAGAAACCCGACGCCAAGACAAAGCCTCCCGCCTCAGCCACACCCCAAACTCCAACCAAAGGTCACAGGAACACGTCTCGTCCAGCACAAAAAGGACATAGCCACTCATTTCAGTCCACACCCCCACCCCCTAAGCAAAGGTCTCAGGAACACATCCCATCCGGACATAGACATTCGTCTCAGTCCACACCCCCAAACCCTAAGCAAAGGTCAAAGGAACACATCTCGTTCAACACAAGAAGACGTAGACATCACCCCCAAACCCTAAGCAAAGGTCACAGGAACACATAGGAACACATCTCACCCAACACGAGAAGACGTAGACATTCGTCTCGGTCCAAACCCCCAAGCCCTAAGCAAAGGTCTCAGGAACACATCTCATCCAAGACAAAAAGGACATAGACATTCGTCTCAGTCCACACAACCAAACCCTAAGCAAAGGTTAAAGGAACACATCGCGTTCAACACAAGAAGACGTAAACATCACCCCCAAACCCTAAGCAAAGGTCACAGGAACACATAGGAACACATCTCACTCAACACAAGAAGACGTAGACATTCATCTCGGTCCACACCCCCAAACCCTAAGCAAAGGTCTCAGGAACACATCTCATCCAAGACAAAAAGGACATAGACATTCGTCTCAGTCCACACCCCCAAACCTTAATGAAGGTCAAAGGAACACATCTCGTTCAACACAAGAAGCAGTAGACATTCGTCTCAGACATCACCCCCAAACCCTAAGCAAAGGTCACAGGAACACCTGGGAACACATCTCACTCAACACAACAAGACGTAGACATTCGTCTCGGTCCACACCCCCACACCCTAAACAAAGGTCTCAGGAACACATCTCATCCAAGACAAAGAGGACATAGACATTCGTCTCAGTCCACACCCCCAAACCTTAATGAAGGTCAAAGGAACACATCTCGTTCAACACAAGAAGCAGGACATTCGTCTCAGACATCACCCCCAAACCCTAAGCAAAGGTCACAGGAACACATAGGAACACATCTCATTCAACACAAGAAGACATACACATTCGTCTCGGTCCACACCCCCAAACCCTAAGCAAAGGTGTCAGGAACACATCTCATCCAAGACAAAAAGCACATAGACATTCGTCTCAGTCCACACCCCCAGACCCTAAGCAAAGGTCACAGGAACACATCTCGTTCAACAAAAGAAGACATAGACATTCATCTCAGTCCACACCCAAACCCGAAGCAAAGGTCAAAGGAACACATCTCATCCAACACAAAAAGGACATAGCCATTCATTTCAGTCCACACCTCCAAACCCTAAGCAAAGGTCAAAGGAACACATCTCGTTCAGCACAAGAAAACATAGACATTGGTCTCAGTCCCCACACCCCCAAACCCCAAGCAAAGGTCGAAGGAGCACATCTCATTCAACACAAGATGACATAAACATTCGTCTCAGTCCACACCCCCAAACTGCAAGCAAAGGTCACAGGAACACATAGGAACACATCTCATTCAACACAAGAAGGACATGGCCATTCATTTCAGTCCACAACCCAGACACAAACACACCTCCTCCAACACGAAGGCCGCCTCCCAACGAGAGACACTCAATAATCAGAGCCCGCACCCCAAACCCTAGCAAAAGGTCACTAATCTGCTTCATCCACCCCTTGCTCGGCTGACTGGCTATCTCTTGGCATCGGGTGGTTGCCTTCCTGTCGGAGGGTTGGCCAGGATGCATGAGGCAACCAAGGCAGCGTCACGCTCGGATCCACGTCATCAGCCATTGCAACGAACACAATCTTCATACTGTGGACGGACAACATCCTGCACCACCTAAGAGATCCTGGAATGATGATCCCCCCTGCAAATACCAACAATCAATGGTTTCAACCATGGTTTCTTAGGTGGTGCGGACTGGATTTCGTCCATCGGTCCATCCACAGCATGGCAACTGATGGATATTCGACCGCTCCTGCTTCGCACAAGAGGTCCAGGGCCCGCAGGTGGGACGCAGACGCCTCGAAGTTGCGGGTGCGCCACCGCACATCGTCCACCTATCCAAAGGCAGGCGGGCGAGGAAACCGCAAAAGCTCCGTCACTTACAACACGCAAGATGGTAAAGAACCTTCTGCAAAGAGGACGGCCACCTTACATGGTCACCTGCAAGAACCGTCTGCTGACGTCACCTGCAATCATTGAAAAGAAGAGCACCATCAAGCAAAGTGACTTTTGCTCCAAGACATGTCTAAAAGCATCTCCTCCCTTGCAAGGGGCAAACCTGGGGAGGAACAGCGGCACACAGCGGAGGGTTGGGCCAAGCATGATCTACAATGTCTTCCAATTATTGTCTAAACTTCTATATAACCTCTCCAGTTGGCTATTGAAACACGTCTTGCCAAACCTGAAGCGGACCGCCTTAAGACTGCCAGTCGAGGATGTCGTTGATCAACTTACTCCGATTCTCGTGCATCTGCCATGAAAAAGGGAGGTTGCCTGGTTCTAGAGTGACATCCTCCAAACTACCCTCATGGTTAGGAATCCCCCAAAATCTTGAGAACTCTGCACTGCAACCTACCCTCATGGTTTTAAAGCGCCCATCCTATTTTTCCAGAACTGTCTCGACGTCCAAAGCGACCCCCAACCCCCCCCCCCCTAACCCCCAACCCCCAACCCCCCCCCAACCCCCCCAACCCCCCCAACCCCCCCAACCCCCCCAACCCCCCCAACCCCCAACCAACCCAACCAACCCCAACCCCCACCAAGACCAAGGCCCCCGGCCAAGTTCTGCAGGCAGCTGCGCCCCTTGGGCCCCGCTTGGTCCACCTCCACTCGGCCAATCAGCTGCTCCACGCAGCTCAGGTGCTCCTCCGCGGAGCGCTTCAGGAAGCACAGGCCCTGACCGCACGCGCGCCCAAGGGGAACGACTCTTGGCGTCCGCCCTTACTCGGTGGCGAAGTCCTAAGATTCGAGCAAAATGCAACAAAGCTTATTTGGCTTGGGGCTTTTGGGGTTGTGGTTTCTGGCTTGGGGGGTTGGAAATATGTTTGGGCTTTGAAGCTTGGGGTTGGTTTTGGTGGCTTGGGGCTGACTTATGGGAAAACCCTCAAGAGCCAAAGGGTAGAACCCAAATCGCTTCGCAGTGGACCTCCCTGGTCTACTTTTGTAAGTTGGGGAACGTGCTTGTGCGCGGGATGGCTCGCGGATTGTGGGAGAACCATGGTTCAACCAACCCACCCACGGCTTCCCCTGCAAAAATGGACCAAGGTTCTGGCTCCAAAGTTCCAACCCTCGCCAGACTGCCCTTGATGTTTCTTGTCGCCCGGCTTTTTTGGGACCCAAAAAGCTGAGATGTCAAGCAAATGGGGCTCGAGGGTTGAACAGATTGCTTTGTTGGGGAAAAGACAAATGGATAGATCCCTTTGAAGAGAGGCGCTGCATAGTTTGTTGCGGTCCAAGTTGAATTGTTCTTTAGCTGAAGTCAAATGGTCGCCAGTTTCCCTTCGGAGGGCATTTACTGAGCAACTAGATCAGTCGCCCACTAGGTTGTAAACCGACCCTGCCAGGCATTGTCCACACCAACGCTTTGTTGATTTAACCTGTGAGTGGCATTTGAGGAATGTGTTAGAAACTGTGTCGCCTTCATCCCTCTTTGGGGGGGGGGGGGGGGACGGTGACGAACCTCTTGCAAAGGCGCTGAATTGCTCTACTTCGAGCTATTCCACAGTTGCGGGTCAGGGCTGAGGATCTTGCACCTGCCTGTGTCACAACAATTTGGACAATGCCAGCGGCTTTTTTACTCCCAGGTGAATCTTAATAGGGGGACCCGAAATGGTGGGTGTCATTGTTTGAGGGAGCCCGTTTTGGTTGCTATAAAGGCAAACCCGAGGAAAAAAAAACAAGAAAAACCACTCTCTCTTCCTTTTTGTTTCCTTTATTTATTTATTTTGGGGGGGAGGGGCTGGCCGGGGGTCCCCTAAAAAATGATACGCCCTCATCGCCTTTGGCTTGTTTCTCCCTTGCCTCGCAGGCCAGGTGCAGCAGCGACTTCCCGCTCTCCGTGCGCAGCTCCGCCACGAGGCCTCCGCTGCCGTCTTGGTGGAGGAGCTGAAGCAGCGCGCCGAGGCTCAGGGAGTTCCCGGTGTAGGCCGTCAGCACCAGCACGTGCCCTGTGATCTCGGCGCCCTGCCGCGCCAAAAAAGAAAAGAAGGAAAAATGGTCACCACGGATGACGCTTTGGAAACCAAACAAAGTTCAAGGGGGGGGGGGTCTGAAAAACGCGGGCTGACTAGGGAGGGTGTCCTGTAACTTAACCACTCTTCAAACTCCTGGCTCAATTCAGGCTTCCTTTTCAAACGAATCCGTGGCTCGTTTGCATCCCGCCTGCTGCACCAGCCACCGCACCACCTCCGGGTGGTTCCCCAGGCACGCGTAGAGCAGCACCGACCAGTTGATCGGGTTCTTGGCCGTCACCTCCGCACCGTAGGAGACCAACATCCGCACGGCCTGGCCGGCGCGCAGGCCGCGCACAGCGCGCACAGGGGCCAAAGGCGGAGAGGAACCCACAGTGTCCGTTAGGTGAGCCTGGATAATAATAGATGGCACTGGTTTAGATGGGTTTTGTTCATTTTATGAAGGCCATCTATTTTTCCAAAAGGCCACCTATGCATAGGCCCAGTTGCCCAGTGGGGCCCTTTTTGTAGGGGAGCCCTTGAAAGGGACAAAGGCCATGAAACTGACGGCTCCTGTGAGGGTGGTCATGTGTTTTTCTCCCACTCTGGTTCGACTGCATCCAAATCGGACCCGGTTGGTTGCAACATCAGCTCAACACCAAATCACCCGGTCCCTTCAAGGATTCGCCAACAGGAATTTGAAGCAGACTGGTGGTGTCCTGGCGGTTTCCTGGTGTGGTTCCCTGCGTTTTCTGGCTGTCTGGTGGTTTGTTTGGTCTTCTGGTCGCTTTCAACCGGTGAATCCCTAGCGCGCGGTCGCCTCCAGGTGACCGCCCGCGGCGGCAAACATCAGAGGGCACACCCCCAGGTCGTCCAGCTCCACCGCTTGGCCCGGGTCCTCCTGAAGTAGCCGCTCCAGCGCCTCCACAAACAAAACATCACCGTCACCACCCATGTTGCCATGGGTCAGAACCAAATCGGTTGCCCTTTCAGTGAGCATCCGATTCAATCCAACCACTAAAATAGGAAGCCTAAAATGGGTGGTGGATTCACCCACCCCAAAATGGTGTTGACCCGTTGCTTCCTCAGCCCGAAACACCACCAGAAAGAGAAGAAAAAAGGAAAAGCAGAAACCACAAGAAAGCAGCCAGAAGCCGTCAACAAGCACCAGGAAACAGAAACCACCGCCGAAACCGCAAGAAATCTCCCAGAAAAACCCAGTCACCTGGCTGTGGGTCAAGAACATGTACCAAAATGGCGCCTTGTCAAATTTTGAACCACAGACTCAAACCTGCGTAACCCCCAGTTCTGTAAAAAAAATAAGAACCACACCCACCTCACTCTCTCCACCCCCCCCCCAACCCCTGCGCCTCGAGGTCCCCCAGCTCCGCCGCCGCGGCGGCCCGGCTTTTGACGCGGCGCCGCTGGGCCTCCTGGCGCTCCTCCGGCTGCAGCAGCTCCTCGTAGACCTCAGCGCTCCAGACTCGGCTCCGAACGCCCAGCGGTGGGCATGGCGAGCGCAGGTTGGGAGAAGTGTTGATGTGGGTATCTGCCAAAATTCAGCCATGTGGCCAGTTTCCAGGGCAACTCATTTTGGGGTTACCCGATTTTTGACCCACAGCTACCTCAGCTTGGCTCCGAGGCTCCCGACTGGAGAGGCTGCAGTGGAGATGGGAGGGGTGGAGGGGGTGGGGGGGCAGTTGAGGTCGTAAGTAGGGGGTGTCAAGTGGCCCCGAGTAGGTGCCTGGGTGGATCTACTCGAAAGTTGGGAACCCAGCCAGCTGGAGGAAAGATATGAGATTCACCTCGTCCTAAACTTGCTGGTGCCATAGGTAGGGAGGAAATGAACCCAGGCTTTGGTCCCTCAAAGGAAACCATTCGGATGGATGGTTCGTAGGCAATTTCCCTCATTCCCCACTGATCATCAGAAAGTAGACGGGTACATCCAGGCAGTTTGGGATCCCTTGATGTCCCATCAGGTTTTGGATTTGGTAGGGGATCCGTCTACAGATTCCAAAAAAACAAAAATACATTAGGTATGGTGAATGTCCTGGACATTGAAAGTAAGCAGTGAAAATGTTCCCTACGTGCAAGATTTAGAGCACCCACGGCAGTTAGAACCCCAAAAGACGCAGAAAGCTTGGGTTAAAGGGGGCTTAAGGGGGGCATACCCAGGCAAAAGCGCAAAGAACTCCAAAAAAGACGCTCTTTTAGGAGCCCAGCACAACATATCCGAAAGCACTACAGGTGAGGCATTTCTCAATGGGGAAATCGGAAAAGACCAAAAAGGACCCACCAACAAACATGGTTTGGTCCATGGAAGAAAATTTCTTTTTGAAACACGACCCCTGCGCGCTTGGGAATAACCCCAAATCATCACGCTTCCCCGTATCTCAAAAAAATATCAGGACATGTCGCCCTTCAATGATTCATTTGAGGGAAGCGTCCTGATTCTTTCGGACGGACTTCAATGTCAACTTTGGGCAGGTCCATTTCCAAATGAATGGTGGTGAACAAGCAGTGAATTAAACGGTGACCCCCAAAATCAAATCCTAGTCAAACATAAAACTTCAAAGCTCCCCTCTCCCAAATACACAAAAAACTCCAGAATGACACTCTGGTTGTTCTCAATTCTGATCGGAGCGTAAGTTGGAAGAGTTTCAAGTTCTGGGTGCTTTCCGGTAGGGCTCCAAAAATCCAGCAGTTGCCAAATCCCTCGGCTTCTTTTCTTGGTGCTCAGTACGAACCCGCCCGTTTGGTTTTTCTCGGGGTCCTTCATTCCCTGCCCTGAGCACCAGCAAGTGGTTTGATCTCACAGAACAAGTCTGGCATCTCAGCCACCGCCGCGATCGCCTGGAAGAGTTCCGTGGCATGGCGCCGCTCCTCCAAACTTTTTGGCCGAAACCCCGGGGCTCGGCACGGGGCGTTGCCTTTAGATGGGCTTTTTGTTCAGGCTCTCTCCTTCAGATTGGCGTCCCCTTGGGCTTTCCAGGAAACCAGCGTGAAAAGAAGCACCAAAGAAGACACGTCCCCAACTTCACCTCAAGCGCAGTGGCCAAGAAAAAGGCCTGGGAGAACTTCCCTGAAAAGCCTTCTGGCAGGTCATGGAAGAGCGGGTTCGGCGGAATGTTTGCCTCTCGCTGCAATCACCAAGAAAAATGATGGAAATCCAGGGTTCCCTCTTCCGGCCCTTCGAACCTCTCCCCGACCTCAATCCAAGTTGGCCGACTTGAACACCACCCCCAAAAATCCCTCCCGCCCAAGAGAAGCTACAAACATATCCCTTTGCAAGGGGTCCCTATGCGCGACAGCTTCACAGTTGCACATAGGGAAGTTGGCACAAGTCCCGTGAGGTTGGTTTTCCAAGCAGTGGACATGCGCCATGGAAACCACAAACTCGGGGCCCACTCTGTCCGTTTTCAGGTGGAACTTGTACCTCAACACCTACAAGAGCTCACTGTCAAGTTTGCATTCGTGGTCAGGGAAGCAGCCATGGAACTGCCTCCACAAGCCCGCACCACCGGATGTCACGACCAAACTGCATTCGCAGAGCGGCCTTGACCCCGGACCCTTCTACAACAAGTCGCTCTAGCCAAAAAGTGACTCCCCAAAGCATTCTCCAAATCAAAGGCGATGCCACTAACCAGCCAGACAATCCGCTCCAGATAGGTCCCTCAGGAAATCTGTCGGGATCAAACAAACAACCAAATAAAAGAACACGAGCAACCAACCAACCAACCTTCCAACCAACCGACCAGCCAGCCAGCCACCCAACCAACCACCCACCCACCCACCCACCAACCGAGCGACCGACCGACCGACCAACCAACCACCCAACAACCCCTCCCACCATCCCCTGCCTCCTCCTTGCACTTGTCTGGGTGGTGTTTCAGCGCCAGGCGTAGGTAGACCCGACGCAGCTGCTCTGCTGAGCACGGCAGGAAGGCCCCGAAGAGCGCGCGCGCCGCGCTCAGCTGGGGCAGATCCGGCGCCGAAGCGGAGACTGCGACTTCCACTTCACCGCACATGGCGGGACTTGCAAACACCCAGTTTCGTTGTTTTCTCTGTTTTTCTTGTTGTTATTTTATTTGTATGTTGTCTTGTGCTATTTCAATTGCACTTGCTTCCCTTTTTTTTGGGGGGGGGGGGGGAGGAGGGGGAAAGGGGCGAGTTGGCTGGCTGGCGGAATGTTGGTTTTCGCCCGGCTGGGCTTGGTGTCTTGCACCTGCCTTGTGGCCGGCTGGTGCCCGGCAACTGGGTTTCTTGCTACGGCCTGCCATGATCCGCCAATCCTTGACGCCTGGCATGCCCGATTTCCTGCGTCCTGGAAGCTCCACATCAACTTTTGCACCCAAGGCTCGGACTCGTAGAGAAACTGTGGAACCTGAAACACATGCTTTGCAGAAGGAAAATCCCCCCTCCCCAAAAGAACCACAACAAACAAGCAAGATCGGCCATCCAAAAGGCTCAGAATGTGTGAACTCGGCAAATAAAGCTGTGCCCCAGCCTGGGTTGACTTGCCACAGCCCGTGTCTCCGCACACCTCGGATCTTCAGCTCAAGCCACGAGCTGCAAACTCCCCCACCCCCACAGCTCCTGGGCTCCCGACCAACATCACGTCGTTGCCCAGCACCATTTCCACAAACTCTTGCCTGCAGAAAGCCAACGCGTAGAATTTATCTTTTATTGTTTGCTTCACTTTGTAATACGTAAAATGTATCCTAAGTCCACCCCAGACACGCATTGGCGCACGCAACTCGAGAGGTCAATGGTTTCGCTTTGGCCCGCGCTCCATCATCACAGCTGGTAGCTTGGAGCGCTGCTCCTGAAAAAAGAAAAAGCGCACTTGCATGGGCAGCTGCGTCACCAAAACGGGTCTTCGACCTCGATGTCGGCGGCACGCTCCACATTGACCTAGACAACACCCCACATGGCTGTGGGTCAAAACCAATGGTACCATTTTGAGGTACGGTGCACCAGTGGGGATTGGGATGTTCACTGGGGGTGTTGTTGCAGTTGTTTGAGATAGGATTCCCATGACAGCAGCCAAGTGCAGAACTCGAAGCAGAGGTTGTGCTGTAAGTTGTGCCGCTGGCTTTGGCGGGGCCTTGGGCCGGAAGGACCCCCCACTCCGACCAAACACATTCCCACGCACTCCCATGAGTAGAGCAAATTGGAAAAAACGAATTGACGAGATGAAACATGCCTTGAACGCCCCTCGAGCCAGGTCACAGCAGGGGGTAGCGTCTTTGTCTTGCGCGGGGCGCTAGCCTGACAAAAGGGCGGGAGAAGCGAAAGGCGGCGAGCCTCGAATCTGCCTGAGGTGTCGAGGGAGCACTATCGCCTGGCACGCTGCTTTCTGGCTGCAGCCCACCAAAGCTCCGACAGCACCGGCCTGGTTGTTCAGCGATTGGGGCAGGCGCTGGCGCCGTCTGTTCTTGTTCCTCGTCCTCATCCTCTTCCTCGCTGGGCGCCTGAACGCACCATGGCCACAAAGCTGAGAAATGAGAAACCACCCGCCTGCAGGGGGCGCTTGGCTTGCCTGGGGCGCGGCCGCAAAGCCTCCTGGGCTTCATGCGAGGCTAGCTTGCCAACCGGCCGGAACATATCAAGTGACCGAAAACTCGAAAGCCACCGGGTTGCTTCAACTCGTTGCTCTGCGCAGAGCTACAACTTGCCATCTCCTTCATGCCTGACGTCAAGGGAACGCCCAATTGCGCTCGCCGCTGCGCCATAGCCCGCTGCTCCCGCTTGGAAAGCCTCATTCGATCTGCGCTGAAAAGGCAGAGCTGCAACTCGCAGTTCGCGGCAGCTCGGCGCCTCGTACTCTGAGATGCTTTCAGAAGCTCGGCTTGCTCGGCTGTCAATTTCACTGCCTGGACATCAATTGGTGACTTTGACAAGATTTGTCTTCGCCCATGCCTTGAGCTGCTCCAAAACCTCGGTCCTCACTTCCTTGTTGGCCTTCTTTTGGGCAATTTGCTCCTTGGACTGCAAGCAAATCACTCCATGAGGCCTGGAGGCTGACATGACCCCTGCGCACACAGCACTTGAAATCCCTACAGCCCCGGAAATGCCGAGTGCTCGTCCAGCTTCCGCTTCTTCCGCTTGCTTATCTTTTTCTCCTCCTCAACCCTGTCTGCTTGGGCAGTCTTCTCCCGCTTTGCTGGCAACACCTGCCACGCATCAAATCACAGCATTGCTTGCACGACGGCCGTGCTCCAGCAAGCCGATGGAAGCATGGCCTCTGCGTTGGTGTCATTGGGCAATCGCGGTATGGCATCATCATCATCCCCATGGCCAAGCATGGCTGCATGCTAAAAAAAAATGGCCGCTGGACAAAGAAAGTTGCTCCTTCACCCCTGTCTTCATAAGTACTAAGGCATTTTTTGCGACACGAATCAAGGGGGGCAATGTCTGGCAGGTCGAATCTAATTCTCGAATATGTGTGTCTTTTGTTTTCCTGTCTTTCTCACTGCTGCTAAATCTTGCAGCACGTTCCAGCAAATCGCAAGGTATGGTTCAGCAAACCGTGCCACCAACATCAACACTACTAGCATCACCCGCAGGTTGCCTTGCAGCTTAGGTGGTGGTTTAGGATTCTGTTTGGGGTGCAGGTTGTATTGGGGTGGTTTTTTTGGGGTGCTCTTCAGGGTGATGGAGGGCCTATGCTGGTGTAGTGTTTAATAGCTTAAATGAAAAAACTTGTCCTGAAAAGAAGGACACGCGGCGCAGCACGCAGGACCGCCTCCCGCAAAGCCGCTCCCACGCATGCATCCCCGCTGCAGCGTGTAACAGCGGCACAAACAACCACAGCCAGACCTTGCAACGGCACCCTGCCAGCAGGTCGGCATCGGGATCGGGCCCATCAAGGTTGCTGAAGCCAGGCGACGGCAAGCAAGTCGGGCTCTCGGCAAAGGCGATGGAGGCAGCTGCCGGGCAAGCAAGCCCAGAAAATCCGCTGCCTCCGTGCTCCAGCAGCCCAAGGAACGGACGACACCACTGACTGTGAGCGGCGACACAATGGTCGTGTCGACCGCTGCAATGACCTTGACGCGGCGGTCATCGAAACGAGCGACAGCAACATTCAGATCGCGCACGGGAGTGTTTCCCTTCAAAGGTTTTGCCAGGATTGGGGGAGAACCAGGCGACGGAAATAGGCGCGCTGACCCGCACAAAAAAAAATGACAACGAGCGCCTTGCCTTGCCCGAGAAAGCGCGGGCGCGGATGCAGGGCAGGGCCCATTGAGGATGAAGAAGGCGGATGAAGGATGCAGCCTTCTCACTCCAACGGGCGCCGACCTCAAGCGCGAGGAAAACCAACCGGCAGCGGCTGGGCAGCTCGGGATAGACACGCCCTTTCCGCAGGCGAGTTTTCAACCAGGGCGGCGCTTGGCCGGCGGAGCCCAGGCGCGAGACTAGAGCGGTTCGACAGCTAGCTAATTAGCTGGGCACCGCATGCAAACACAACCCATTCGCGTGGACCTCGACCCGCCGAGCATCGACCTGGTCAACCACGTCGGCCAAGCCGCTGTTGGTGGTCACCCGAGCCCTGGACGCAGGGCACACCCAGGCGGCAGCCTGTGCGAGGCCCGCAACATGCGCGGTGGTCGCCAACTGAATCCAATCGACGATAACACCGGCATGTGTTTGCGGCGATGGGAAGGGGAGCCCGAAAAACCCTAAAAAGGTGTGAGGGGGCGGTGGGGAGAACGGTCAAACAGCGCCGAGCTGGCAGGCAGCAAGTCTGCCCGCCACACAGCAGGGCCAAACTCGGCAATCCCTGGCAGCGCAGGCCCCAGCACGCGCGTCTTGCGGCGACCCCCGCCAGCTCCTCGACAGAGCGCGTGACTAGGTCAAAGGCTGCCCGCGCTCGCTCCGGGCGTGTCACATGATACAAATCGTCAATTGGAGCTGAGCCGCAGCTGCCGAGAGCGCAGCATGCTGCGTGAGGGCGAACAGCGCCGGTGCCAAGACATCACCTTGTTCACAGCCCTCGGTGATGACAGGGAGGGCCGCCCATAGACTGGCGAGCAACTTGGGCGTGATGGATTGCAGCTGGCTGGCAGGAAGGCCGCCCTCACCTTGCCGCAGGTGGACCGTCCGTCGAGCGACAAAACTGTAGCCTCCGCGTCGGTGTCGGTGATGGCGCGCAGCAAAGCCGCCAGCATCAGTGCCCGCCCGGGCCTGGAGCGCGAACTGGTATAGGGCCGCGTGGCCGCGTCGAAGACTTCCGCAAAGACTTTGGCCAGGGCTCGTGCGACCAGCCTGCGAAGGGTCTTGCCCGTCGCAGGATTCACGCCACCGTTGGGCTTGCTGAGGGCCGTCATCCGCGCCAAGCCCAGGGCGTCCGAGATGTTCGCTGGCACCTCGGCCCGTGCCAAGCGCACAGCGGCGCCGTGCAAGAACCGCAAGCCGCCTGCATCCTCCAAAAGCAGCTTGTAGTGCTCAACGAGCGCCCGAGAGTCCGGGGGCGCTCCCGCGATGGCTTTCAGGGCGGTGGCAAAGCTCATCTCGCTCAGCTCCAAGAGCGTTTCCGGCTGCGCGTTGAGAAGATCGGCCGGCAAGGGCGCCTCTCGGGTTCAGTCAGCGCCTGCAGTGTTTCCACCGTGCCTGGCACCAACGCCGCGGCTGTCAGCAGCTGCCGTCCTCTGGAGACCTCTCCCCGCCGGACCTTGCCTCGCGGCGGCAGTGTGCTTGCGGCAGCTGCGCGACGAAGGGCGCCGCTTCCGACAAGCATAATCCAGCCACATGAGCAGGAGTCTGGAAATGGAGTTTTACTTGAGTGGCCATGGCTTTTGTTGTGGGGCTGCCTAGGCTTTCCCACGCGTTTTCATTGGGGAGCGCGAGCGCATGTAAGCTTTTGGTTGGAGGCTTGCTGAAACTCAAAAGCCAAGGCGTGGAGGGGAGTGGGTGGGCCGATTTTCGGTGTGAATTTCAGAAGTCTTCCGGCGCGTGTTTTGAGAAGGATACTGCACGCCCCTTGCAGGTGCCTGTTTTTCTTCCAAGCCGGTGTCCCCTAAAGCCCAGTGTTCCCGGAGCACGCACACGCGCACACGCCCACACGCGCACACCCGCACACGCGCACGCTCGCACAGGCGCGCATGCCCGCGCCCGCGCCCACACACGCTACATACACCCACACGCCAGACACCCGCACACCCGCAAGAGTTTTGAGCTCCAAGCCCTCACTGCGTGCCCATGGGGAGTTGAAGCCCCAGGCTTTAGCAGAGGGGAGCAAAAGGGGATGGTAGAGCGTGCGCACGTTGCGCAAAGCGCGGCAAGGCAATCCGAGAAGAGGACTTCGACGTGGGCTGTGTACGTGCCCCCCAAAACCTCGAAAGAGTGCATGCCGGTGATGGCTAAGGGCAACTCAGTCAAGCCCAGCCCGTGGGAAGCAAGGGCTTCGCGAACGGGAACAGCGCCACATTGAAATCGCGGCCTCCAACATCTGCGGACACACCGCTGCTGGACCCAAGAACTGTCGCATCGTCCTCCTCTTCATGCGTCTCCACCAGCTTGCTTCCATCATCTGCCAGGTGCTCTGGATTCAGCTCACCATTGAGCTCGGCATCGGCGTCGGGCTCAACAGGCTGGGGCCGATAAGCGCAACTCCGCTTGCGACACACGCGCGGCCGGCAACGGTCGCGGCCGCAGCCCCTTGCCATCCGCGAACAAAGGTGTGGGTCCGGCCTCTTGCGGGGCCGACGCCGGCACGCCATCACAGAGCTCACGCCAGCTGAAAGCGGGAAAGCTTGCGCCGCATGCTGACGAAGGACAGGCAGACAATCTGCCCAAGATGCCCAATACGCTGAGACTGAGGTTTGAGCAGCTGACAGCAAACCCAGGCCACCGAGCAACAAGGGCAACTGGGCGATCCTTCGAGCCTGGTCGGGAAGAAAGTCTGCGAAAGTCGACAAAATAGCCGAGTCATGGGCACCGGCGTACTCGGCCGTGACCGACGGGAAGCATCCAGAGAAGGTAGTTGCAGCGGGGAGAGCAACAAAAAAGCAGCAGCAACCAACACGAAGTCATCGAGCTCGGGCAAACTCAAACGCTGCAGGAGCTGGTCATGGCTGGCTCGCGGCGCGAGGAGCTGAGTCCGGACAAACGCGGCAGAACCACAAGAACAGTAAGCCCTTGGTCTGCATCGGGCAAACGCCCAGCTCCAACCCGGCACCCCAGGCTGCCCAACATCCCAAGGCACTTTTCTGCCGCGTTCCACACTCGCGTCGTGGCAGCGCGCTTCACGGAACATGTCCAACCCGGTCCAGCTGGTGGACTACAGCGTAGACATCGTCCAAAAGGCAACCAAGGTTTCCGCTCGCAGTTGGTTGTGTGTGGCCTGTAGCGCCGGGTGCTGGCCAAGCGCATGCAAGGCGGGCATCAAGGGGTCGCCCTGCTCCCCCCCCTCGGCCCCTCGGCTTGCTGAACTATGTGTGGCATCCCCCCCGAATCGTGCCAAACGTACTCCGAGAACTCGGGATAAAACCGCCGGACAAACGGGAGACTCGTTTGCCCCCGGCACGCCAAGCAGGCCCTGCAACATGGACTGGCGACTCATAGTATCAAAAGCACCGATCCCGACCAAGACGATGGGTAAGGAACAACGCTCTCAGCGAAGGTAAAGGCCCCTCCCGGCGCCGGCGCAGCTGCGGGCACTTCTTGGATTTCCCGCGGCCCGCTTGGCGCTGCGTGCGGAGGCGGCGGCCCGATGGGAGGCCCACCCCAGCTTTGGCGTGCAGTGCTTCTGGATTTCTTCTGCGCTCCGCCGATCGCATGCGAGGCCCCTGCAGTCCCAGCTGGACCTCGCGCGCCAGGACGGCTGCAAGCATTCTTCGTCCGAAGCCTCCTTGCCGCGCACCATCGCGGCGGCCCGCTCCGCATTGCCACGCGGCTCTTCCGTTTTCCTAGCCTGGGCGGCGAGCAGTGCTCAGGAAACCTTGTTGTTGCTGTTCCTCGGTGAGCGGCGGTCTGCCGAGATCGCGGCTGCAGCCGACCGCTTTCGTTCTGCACAGCCTCCGCCGGGCCACAGCGCGACCGAGGCACCAATGGCGCCTGCCATGCCCATGCCCACCAGCCGCGCCGGGCAACTAGAGCAACCAGAGCAACCAGAGCAGCCAACCGGCCCCCACATGCCTGGGCCCAACAGCAGCGGCGGCGGTAGCAGCAGCAGCAGCAGCAACAGCAGCAAAAGCAGCTGCAGCCGCCGTAGCAGCAGCAGCTGCAGCAAGCAGCAGCAGCAGCAGCAGCAGCAGCAGCAGCAGCAGCAGCAGCAGCAGCCGCAGCAACGGCACCGGCCACGGCC